ATACTTACCCGTTTCTCTTCAATATTATAAGAACTAGTTCATCGAGACACAATTGAGGAAAACAAACTGAGGCTTAGGATTTTGTCTTAAAATTGTAGGCCTCTTTTAATTTGAGTATTTTATGTGTATAATTATTGATGATATTGCCAATTGAGAGTTTATATATGCATTTACTTGTATTATGTGTTGTTTTATTAAACTATGTATTTTAGGCTATAGGTTAAGTATATATGTAAATTATGAAATGTAAAAAGGGCTAAAATACTAATGCAAGTAAGAAGTGGGTAAAAATGTGAATGTTGTTGAATGACTATGAGGTTTATGACATTGAGGCTCCCACTTCTATTTTTTTGATTAAGGGGTTGAGCATTAAAAATGTGTTACATATGATGTTTTTAAGATATAGTGTATTGCACAAGTCCGTTATGATCTATTGAGTGTGATCGGGGGTGTAAATTAGGCTTCTGGCACTTGCAATGAAATTTAGATACCCAAGTTATGTTTAAAATGTAAAAATGAGTATTATGAGAAATGGATGTCCAATTTCTAATTGAGGAATAACTTAATTGTGAAATTAGTGTCATTAGCTAAAGTTAAAAGAAAGCTCTCTATAAATAGTTAGATCAACTCAAAAGGATGTTGGACAGAGAAATAGGGTGTGTTGGTATGCAATATGCCCGATGTATGGCACAGAGAGAAACAAGCTATGGTGCACGAATGACAAGCCATGGCGCATGTTCATTTTTTATACTATTTCACTTGTTTCAACTTTTATGCAAATAATTTGACTCTATTTAGATTCTCATGCTTCCACATACCATTTGCACTTTAATTTATACTTGTAAAGATGTTTTGTCATGTGAGAAATCTTTGAAAACTTGAGATCCTATTTTGATAAATGTTACAAACTTAGTAAATCTTATTTAGGGTTAATTCCTTGATCACCTTGAATTTGAAGTTAATTGAAAAATAGTAAGCGAGACCTTACACAAGCAACATGCCCCCACTGAGTCTTGTTAAATAATGTATTGAAACCATCAAGACCAGGGGATTTAAGACTTCCCATGTCAAAAATAGCTCTCTTAACCTCTTTATCATTGAAGCAACCAGACAAGTTATCAAGTAAAGAAGAATTAATCTTTGGATAATGTGAGATAGTCATCAAATCATGTCTAACTCCAGCCTTTTCATTAAAGAAATTCCTAAAGTATGAAATAGCAATCTTCTGAATTTAATCCACATCATAAGTCCATTCTCCATTTTCATTATGTATACTCGAGATTTTGTTTCTCTTCCTTCGTGCATTCAACCTCACATGAAAGTACTTAGAATTTTTATCCCCTATTTGAAACCACTTACATTTAGTCTTTTGTGCCCAAAGAAGACTCTCCTAGTACAAAACTTCTTTAAGCTCAAGCCACAATTTAGCTTGAATCAATTCAGTAGCATAAGGAGAACAACTTGAATAATTATTTCTAGCCAAACCCTTTATCTATAACCTCTTTTTATAGCCCAAATATCTAAATACCTCCTCCCTCCAAATATGAATTTTAGAAGTAAGCTGGAAATATTTTCTACCTAGCTTTCTATTTCTTGCCAATTATCTTTAACAAAATGGTAAAAATCATCATGAAGCACCCAAGAAGCTACAAAACAAAATGGTCTATCCTGAAGTTTTCTTTGAGTCTCTTCCTCCACAAGTTTAAGTAGAATCAGATGGTGATCAGACTTAAAGAAAGGAAGTTAAAAACCTTAGCATTCTGGAACGTTTCATTACACCTATCATTAAAGAACACTCGATCCAATCTACTTTCACAGGTCCCCCTTTTCAAAGTGTAAAATGGCCTAGTACAATAAGATTCAAATAATCAACCTAGCTAATAAATTCTCAATCAGCGGTGCTATGAGAACTGCAAGTAGAAAACTGTTCATGGGAAAAAAGAACACAATTAAAATCTCCCCTTAAACACCATAGGTCATTGACTGAAGAACTAAGCCTATTTAATTGTTGCCAAACAACTTTACGATAAGCCAAGACAGGACTAGCATATACAAAAATAATAAAATAAAATTTAGAGCCTAGAACAATTTAAGTATGAATAAATTGAGGGTGACTTTCAATAACTTCAACTTTCCAATCTCCCTCCTTCCAAAAAAACCATAAGCCTCCACTAATATAGATTTGGCCAAAGAATTGCTTTTAGCCCACTTGCTCTAGTTTCCAAAATAGTTATAAAACCTAAATTATGTTTTTTGGTTAACTCCCTTATGAGACCAGCTAATGGTCTAGCCCCTGTACCCCTTGTATTCTAGAATAAAATATTCATAAAGACACCTTAAAAGAAATTTGGGCTACAATGCCCTCATCCTTATCCATCATATTATTAGAATTACCTAAAGAAGTATGTTGATTCATCATAATCTCTTCAACGTCATTTAACTTTGGGCCCACAACAGTATTAGATTGAGCATCCAATCTTGTATCCATTGATCCAACCCAACACCTTGCATTGTGAAAAATATCATTAGACCCAACACCCAAGCCCATATATTCCTTCTCTCCCTAGTCCGTAAAGGTAAATACCATATCACTAGAATTTGGATCCCCCTTCTCCAATACATTAAATTGGTTAGCCAAATTTACATCATGTGACTTAGCTTGATATTTCTTACATGTCCACATCCACTTATTAGCAAGAGGAATATTCTCTTTAGCCTTTTCTTTTATTCTCAAAACCCTTTTCCTTTTTTCTCCAATAGCCACCCACTCAAATTTGCTCTGATTAGATATATCCTTCTTGAAATTTTGTGATCCAATTTTATGCTCAAAATAATTACCCTCTAATTTTTTATGCTCTTACTTCGCCTTCTCTCCCTCTAAACCTTTTGCTACATTATTTGAAGATCCCTTCAAATCCGCCCTCATAACTGTCGCCCTGAAATCTCGCCTAACCAAGATCTCTTACCTGAAGATATTCACCTCTGACATATCTGACACAACTTTGGCATCTATATTTTCGGCAGCCTTATCACTCTTCCTAGACTCTTCAGACGAAGGATTCCCCTTTGTTGTATTTTGAAGAACTATTAGATCAACTTGTATCAATCCAATCTCCTTGTTTCTCACTACATTAGCCTGATCAGTGACTTTCTGTGGACATACATCTCTATGATGCCCATACATTTCACAGTGAAAACAAACAAGATGTTGTCCCTTGTAAGCTATCTTATACTCTTCCCTACACCAAGCAAAAAAAAAAAGGTAGCAAAGTTTTGCTAAGATTTAATTCAACACAAATTTGAGCAAACCCTCCTTTATCTAATAATGAAGTTGATTGATCAATCTTCAAAGATTTCCCCACCATGTTGCCTATAAGGCACATAGACTCAATATTATATAGTTCTAAAGGAAGATCTGCCACTTGAATCCAAGCAACAATCTTCCTTTGTCTTTCAACCTTCTATGGATTAAAGTTGGGTCTCCATTTCTAAACTAATAAATAATGATCATCAATCATCTACAGCCCTTCTTGATAAGCATAATCAAATCCTCCTCCTTTAAGAAAGACATCACAAAATAACCATTGTTCAAAGGAGTGATACGTATAGGCTTAGACAATTTCCATATGTGAATCAGTCTTAGACATAGAAACTTGAGAAGAACATTTCAACCTAGAGGTTTTTATGATCAAAGAATTTTTCCAAGGTCTACACCATTCCTCATACTTCTTAGTTGAAACCTTTAACTCCAGGAACCTAACTTTCCTAAGTTTAGGCAGAACATCCTCCTCCTCTAAACTATCATCTCCTTCTTGCTCTTCTGAACTCACATCTCCTTCTCCCTTCTCTTCACATCCTTCTCCTTCTTGCTATTTGTTTTTGCAAAATACTTTGTCCAACCATTCATAATGTAATCATTAGGGTCATTCTAAGATAGAAAGCCAAAAGAATTCAGGCTTAACCAAGAGCCCTTATAAAAGACTCTTTTTTGATTCCCTATCACAGATGGAGATCCCATAGTCTTTTGCTCCTCTGAAGTCATTTGTTTTGATGAGAAAACAAACTCAAAGCCTGTCTTTTCTCCTCCAATATTCTCCATCTTACCATCACCCCTGCCGCTAGCTTCTCCATCACCGTAGGAAGCCTCCTTGCCTTCTGTCACCACTCTCTCTCTCTCTCTCTCTCTCTCTCTCTCTATTGCAATCTCTTTTTTACTCAAACAATTTTTACTCAACTCAAACTAACACAACAATGTCAATTTAAAATTCTAAAAAATGGTTATTAAAAAAATCTGAAAAGTTTAAAAATTTTCTCCAAATGAAAAAAGTTTTTAAGCCTTATTGATTTAATAGTCAGATCAAGAAAATGAAAGGGAAAAGAAAGGGGGAAAAAAGGGAAACACCCCACACCCTTGGGTCACCCATTGTTCCTCCACTCTTCTTTCTCACACCATTATTTAAAATAAAATCACCATATCATTTGCATTTAAAAAAAATCTTATTTAGGAAGATGCTTAAAAATTAAAAAATTATTAAATAATTTAAACAATACCAAATTTGGCATAAAGGGGTCATATAAATTTTATTTTCTTAGGCTATATATAAATTAAAAAACTTTTTTTTTGAAATGTTAATGATAAAAGATAAACCCCTTTCAATTTAATTAATACACACACGTATAAAAGAGATTGCTTGCAAGAAGATATGCGATTCTAATATTTGTTGTCATTGGCATCTTCAAATAATGAGTTAATTAATATTAATGGGTAACGTATGATTCCTTTGGCGGAAGACAAAAAAATATCCGGGCGTGTGGCTTTCTCTAATTTACATTTTTCAATGAAAGCAGACAATGACATCGAAAATTCCAATCACAATAAATAAATCAAAAATCCCAATAAACCAAAGTCTTCGGGTTGGGCCTAAAATACATTTATTTATTGGTCGAACCCTTTATATATAGAGATAATTCTACGAACCCCATCTTCACTCGGCGTGGTCGTCATCATCTTCATCTCTCTCTCTCTCTCTCTTACTCTGTTCATCAAGTTCATCAAACAGATAATTAGAAGCCATGGTCACACGCGTAATGCTTCAGAAACTCACCTTCTTGGGTCTGTTATATGCAGCTCTACTTATTTCTTCTTCTTCTTCACTGAATGATAAACTGTTAGATTCATCAAAGTTGGAGATGTTTGTGGACGAGGTTCCTGATATGCCCAGAATCCATGGCTACAAGCTCGATCATGGAGTCCCCAAACCCAAATCTCTTCATATCGGCATGTTCAAGAAGAACTGGGTACGTACGCCTTCATTTAATTTCCTTCACTTCTTCAATTTTTAACTCTTTTTATTATGAAATTATTATTGTTATTGTTCTAATTGAAATCTATATATATATATATATATATAGAATTTTTGTAAGTGCCTGAAGAATTTTTGTTTTTTTTGTTTTTGCCTCTTTACTTGCTCTGTGTCCATCGATACTTCCTAGAATAAAACAGACAAATATATGTGTAGTGTACATCGAAACTAGTGTTCGAGAGGTTGAAGATGATATATCTTGTTGAACGGTTCTTTACTGTCTTATACATCGTATGGTAATCGGGTCGCTACTACAAAAAGGAAAAAAAAAAAAAATTACCGGTTAAAAATAGTTTTTTATATTTGTTTCACAATCGGCATAGAAAGAAGGGATGTAAAAAAATTACACTGCTTTTGTAACCGGTGTGGAGAGTGGACTGTCTACATAGTTCAACAAAATTAATTAGTATTTTTTTTTTCGGCCAAACCTTATTAATTAGTATTTAAGGAGTGGTTTAAACCTTTAAGGTCAAACAAAATTAATGATAGCAATTGATTTGATTGGGCTTCAACCTACGAATCTTGTTCATTTAATTTGATTTTATTAATATAGCGTATCAGAGAGTGACAGATATGAGAAATCTACCAAATTTATTTTGAGTTGTTTTCTGATTTTCCCAACTCTTGGAGATGCTTATAAACTATTCTTATTCTCAAGGAAAAAGCCAACGGTTTGTATCCTTATAAGATGAATTTGGAATCTGCTTCTTCTCTTGTTTTGTCCACTGACCTCATAAAAAATCTTACAATTTTTTTTTTAAATAAGGAGCCCTGTTTCGAAAGTTTATAAAATATAATTACAACATTTAATTCTTTATTTTTTTATTATTTTGAAGGGTAAGACTAATATATAAATAAAAAATAAAAATATTTTACTTTAATTTCAAGAAAGATAATTAATAACAATAAAATTGATTCTAGATATATATTGTATTGCTATAAGCAATTAAAAAGGCCAGTCTAAGAATAATTCTTTTTGGACAACTAAGAGTTGGGAAAATTGAAACAAATATAGTCATTTATTCATTTATTTGTCTTTTCCCTTTTGTTTTCTTTCCGCTGTCCTGACCCTGTGCTAGTGTGGAAAGTTGCTCAATAATAACCAAAGTGTGATGGAAACAGCTAGCTTCGGCTCAGCCTTTTGAGAAATGATTCCAGAATGTTGTGGACCAATCTCTTGAGTCTCCGCTTCAAATCACAGTACCTTTTTTTATTTTTTTATCCTGAAAAAAATACTATAAAGTCTCCCACAAATATTCAAAATAGTTTGAAGATTTCATAAAATCTTTAAATAGCTGTCAAGTCTTTATAAATGGGGTAAATAAGATTAAAATGACAATGATTAAAATGATCATATTATAAAATGTCTTGCTGACAACTTGATAACAACTATACATCACAAGATAAAAGTTATTGGCAAGTGAGGTAATATTTGTTACTGACAGATATCTCACTTATCAATTACCTTTCTTTTATAATAAATAATCGCTGTCAAATTGTCAATAAAATATTTTATAACATAAACATTTTGATTATTGTTATTTCAATCATATTTACCCTGAAGTCTCCAAGTAACTTATAGATTTTTTTGGATTTGGTTAGAACTTTGGGTATTTTGAATGGTTGGGGAGATTTCAAGATGATTTTCTTTTTTTTTTCTTTGAAAGCTCATTTATTTGTCAACACCTATGAAAATCTCAAGGGCTCTTAAAGCTTCAGAATTGGATAAATACCAAAAGAATTTATTCCATCACAATATAGTTTAACTTTTTTCATATATGCCATCTACTCTGTCCATTCTACCACCTTTCATTATTTCTTCCAAATCCAAATAGGATTCTGCAGTGACCTGCACAGGGAAAATGACCCAGAAATTAAAATGTTTATATTTAATTATTATACTTATATGTAAGGGACTGGCATACATATTCTTCATCATTTTTAGTATTGTTTGGGTATTTCAGAAATTTCACAGGCATTTGCCTCCGACGCCTGTTTTCGCTTTCGGTGTGAATGAGCGTACAGCATCGGTCCCTGGTCCAACGATCGAGGCCATGCATGGTGTTGATACCTTTGTGACGTGGCAAAATCATCTCCCTTCAAAACACATACTCCCATGGGACCCAACAATTCCTACTGCCATTCCCCACTCAAAGAGGGGCATTCCTACAGTGGTTCACCTCCACGGTGGGATCCATGCGCCCCACAGTGACGGCAATGCGAATGCATGGTTCACTAATGGATTCAATGAAACGGGACCCACTTGGACTCGTAAGAGCTATCACTATCCTAACTACCAGCATCCGGGAAATTTGTGGTATCATGACCATGCCATGGGGTTGACCCGAGTCAACCTCCTTGCTGGCTTGATTGGAGCTTACATTATTCGTCACCCTTTGATCGAGGGCCCACTTGGTTTGCCCCATGGCGATGCCTTCGATCGACCGTTGGTGATTTTTGATCGTAGCTTTCGCACTGATGGTTCCATATACATGAATTCGACCGGAAACAATCCCACCATTCACCCCCAATGGCAGCCTGAGTACTTTGGTGATGCTATTATCGTGAATGGCAAAGGCCTCGAATGACAGTACGTCGTCGTAAATATCGATTCCGGATAATCAACGCAAGCAACGCTAGATTCTTTAAATTCTTTTTCACCAACGGCTTGGAATTCACCCACGTGGCATCAGATTCATCATACATCGAAGAGCCAGTGACAACTAAGGAATTTCTATTGGGGCCATCTGAGATCACAGATATGATTGTTGACTTTTCTCAATCAAAGAATGATACGGTTATCCTAGGCAACAATGCACCTTATCCCTACCCTTCTGGTGATCCAGTGGATGAATCTAACAGCAAGGTGATCAAATTCTTCATACAACCCAATCAAGAAGTTGACACGTCAAGGGTTCCCAGAAAGTTGATAAAATATCCCCACGTGGAATTATCCTGTGTGTCGCACACAAGGTACATTGCAATGTATGAGTACACAAGCGACATCGACGAGCCCACGCACTTGTACTTAAACGCAAAACCATATGAGGCCCCAGCAACAGAAACTCCGAAGGTGGGGTCCACAGAGGTGTGGTATGTGATCAATTTGACGGAGGATAATCATCCGCTTCACATTCATTTGGGATTGTTCAAAGTGTTGGAACAGACAAAGCTTGTGAAATCAGAAGATTTTAAGGATTGCATGGAGAAAAAAAAACGATGCTAAGAAGTGCCACGTGGACCAACATGCACGTGGCAAGAAACTAGAGGTTGCTGCTCACGAAAGTGGGTGGAAGAATGTGTACAAGATGGCACCTGGGTTTGTGACCAAGATTGTGGTGAGATTTGGGTACATCCACGCGAATGAATCATATGTCTTTGATGCAACTGATGAACCTGGCTACGTTTATCATTGTCACGTAAGTATTTATTACTATTCCCTTTAATTTTGTGCATTATTGTTTTAATTCTTATTCAACCCTTTTTTAAGATTATAAGACAATTTTAATTAATTTATATTCTCAAGAAAAATTAATGAATAAAATTTAAAAGTATACTCTTTTTTCATGTTTACTTTTACTTAATAGAATATTTTTTAATTTAAAAATTTTAATTACCGGGAATTAAAGATAATTTTGAGAAAAATCTTAATTCCTCCTATCTAAATTATAAGCAACTTTTAACTATAATCATTATATCAATGAAATTTAGCTATATTTATAGTTTTCTCTTTGGGAGAATGACAGTTAATTAGATCTCAAATGAATAAATTAATGACAGGTGGATCCCCGATATAAAATGTTTTATAAAATAAATTATAAATATCAATTTAAATAGTTATAAATAAAAAATTTTGTCATAATATAAAAGTTATATTTAAATTTAAATACTTATTTGTAATTGAAAATTTTGAATTTGTAATAATTTGAATTGATATTTTAAACTTATTTTTAAAAAATTTGATGAAAACTTAACTATCATTAATTATGTGTTTTGGAACCTAACTATCATTGTCCATTCTCTTTTTACCCTTAAGCTCCAACTGCCAATGATATAAGCTCACCAATAAAGTGATAAGAAGGTGATAATTCTTATATTATATTTCAAATTTTGGGTCTTTTCTGATAGAGGGTTACTTTAATAATCTATTCAGGTCTATTTTGAGGTTTTAAAAGTTTAATACCTAAATATGAAGTTTTTTTTTTTATCATATTTGAGGACTCTTAAAGTAAGGTTTAAAGCTTAGAAGAAGAATTTGAAATTAAAATAGACTTAAATTAATGCTTTAGAGGTATAAAATGTTTATTAGAGCCAGTGCTCATATAGTAAACTAAGTTAATAAATGCAAGGGTAAAATGAAAAGAATATTTTTTAAAAATAGTAAGCCTATTATATTTTGGATTAAAAATAGCTGAAAAAAAATAATTTATATTTTAACTGGAAAGTATTAATTATATCTGAAAAAAATTCAAATATTTTTGAACGTGATGTTTTAGAAAAAGTGTCTTATAATATTAAATGAGAAGTATTAATTACTGTTAATAAAAAAGTCATCTCTATCAATTAGCTGTTAACATCACAATTATTTGCAGATATTGGACCACGAAGACAATGTGATGATGAGGCCTTTGAAAATGATAAAGTGAGATTTATTATCGTGATCAACAATGCAGGTGATTAAATAAATGAATGTATTCTCTACGAAGGTTGAATAATTTAACAAAGGTATAGATAGTTGGTTATTATTAGAAGCTAAAAATTTGATGCTAATTAAGGAATATTAGGGGAGGCAGACTTACTCATTCGAAGTTATTTCGTCTCTACTCGTTTGAATAATAAAATGCCATAGCTTCTTAAGGATCAAGGGGAAACCAAGTTTTTAGACTACTTAATCCAGTCCAATCTTATAAAAAAATTATTTTAATATAATTTTAATTATTTTTAATATATTTGAATAAATTGAAGTTTGAACATAGTATTCTTTCATTTACATTTTACCTTTCCATATAATATAATTTAATTTAATTTGTTGCTAAATTATTATTGTAATGTAGATGAGACACATTGAAATTTGTCGAATGTTGTTAAAATTATGAATTTGAATCATTTAGATTGTAATTGAAGATTTTATTGTGGGATATTGTTGTGGATTTTTTATTATTATAAGTATTTTTATTATATTAATTGAATTTATTATATTGAAATGAATTGTTGCCTCTCTTTTTTTTTTTTTAAAAAGAACCCACCCCAAATTTAATTTGGGTGTGCTTCTTTGTCATAAAAATAAAAAAAATTAAGTGAATATTAGACTAATAAAACGAGTCTCCCAATTATATGAACTAAGTCTAGTCTAATTAATCTCAGGCTACAACTGAATCAAATCAAATTAGGGGTTGCTTATCTTGATTTTTTTTTCCTGAAAGAGATCAAATTTTAGATTAGATTCAAATTCTATTTTATCTAGTCCTTCATGCATCCCTTGATATGGCCACTCGCAGCGTGGTCTGGTTTTGTTGTCACACGGTAATTGTAATACTCATCCTTATATGTTGGCATTTAGACCATTTAATTGAGATTTGAATGGTAGAAATTTAATTTTTAAATTACAAAATAACAGTCAGAATATTATTTTAATTTTAATAAATAAAAATATAAAAATAAAGTGATCATACAAAATTGAATAACTGAGAATTAGATTAGATGCTTATCCTTTCAATTTAATACAAATTTACAATCATGGTAGAGAAAATTAAAGATCTTTTTTCATTTTTGGGACCGGAGAAAGAAAAATAAAGATGTGATGTATCAATGTCACGGGCAGAGTTCACGAGTCACGATGACATCTGTGAGCTAACATAGTAACATGGCAAAAAGACTACTCTGGAGCCAATTCTAATTCTGGTGACTGAGTTCATTTTAAAATCACTATAAAATCAAAGTAAACAAACGAATAAATAAGATCTTATTTAATTTCTGTTCTTATTTTTTATTTTTAATTTTTTTTGCATTATTATTTTAAAAATTTTTTAAAACAAAACAGAATGAAAATCTATTTAATTATATTAATTTAAAAATAACTTAGAATTTAAAAAATAGGCTGAGAATGATAGTTATAGATGATTAATGATAATGGTTTATAACAAAAAGTGATCAAGTTAATTGTAATTTTTAATAATCAAATGTATATATTTTAAAAATAAAAAAAATAATTTGAAGTTATTTCTGTTTTTTGGTTTATGTTAAAAATAAAAATGAAAACAAATATGGAAACAATTAAATTTAAAACACTTATTCAAATGAGTTTTTAAGCTTTTTGGTTTTCGGAAAACAACAAGCTGTTCTTACAAGAATAAAACAAACAAGTCTTAAAAGTCACTCGTTTTTGACGATAAGAGTTAAATTAAAATGTCATAAAATTTTTAAAAAATGTTTACATAGTTGGATATAATGAATCAGATTAGTCCCATCTACATGACACTATTACAAAAAAAAAGATATATTTAATTATTAATTTTGTCCTTAATTATTTGACTATTTAATTATAAAATATGGAGGCGTTGTATAAAGAATGAGAACTTAGGTGATAGTTAATAACCGTCTGTTAGTAAAAAACAATCAGGCGTGGTGTTGCGAGGCATGCCAGAGATGCTGAGCCTCAATTGATAATAAAAAAGCCTCGAGCTCCCTTATCACAATTCACTCGAATGTAAAAGATACACAAGGCTTTAGTAGAACAATTATTTGATTTTTATAGAAATGTGAAAAGTTATAAGTCTAGTGGGATAAAAGCTTGTTATTGTTGTTGTTGTTGTTGTTGTGAAAAGTTATAAGTCTAAATTGAAAGTAAAAACTGATAAAACTAAAGACTAAAGGTGTAAAAAAGCAAGTCTTTGATTGAGTGTTTATTGTTCTTCTTCTGTGTCTTCGTCTTCTATTTATAACGTCAAAGTGGTGGTAGCTTCTCCCTTAATATCTAGCACACTTTGCCAAGGAATTAAGGATCTCACAAAACTCATGACACGCTCTTTATTCCGTGTTCTCCTTTTTGGTAATTAGCCCGTATCATTAAAATACTTGGGCACGATGCTCGTAGATTCTGGAATTACTTGAAATTGTGTCTTCTTATGCCAATAGTCCACATTTGTAACTTGTGGGATTTCGGCATGTTTATTTTATCATGGCCTTTGTTAAGCTTTGGAGTCGGCCCCTTTATTCATATTAGGTCTGAATTTTCAATTACACAATCCAACTAGCTCTTTGACCTATTTGAGCAATGTTTATATTTTAGCTTAAATAATGCCCCCGCGTGCCAATGGCTGATAACGTAAGTCACATGGCACGTTTGAAAAACTGAAATGTCACTTTGTCTCTGAGCTCCCTTTGTTAATATAAACTTATTTCTTTTTTTCATTACTTCTCTTGCCTTTTTTGCCGTTTCTTGACATTCAAGCATTTTCCTCCCTTGTTCCAATCTTTCCTTTTCTCTTAAATGGCTTCCTCCACTTCTGTCGTTGCCTCTACTATTGCTCCATCTTCCACATCCTTTGAAAGTTTTCTTGATTCACTGGCCACTATTCGAAATCTTATTGCCTCACTCAGCAGATTTGTAATGATACATATTTGATTGTTTAAAATCCTTATTTCCCCTTAATTAGCCCTTATTTTGATATTTCTTTATTTTCATTACAGGAGAATTCTTTGTTCCATGATTCTATCACTTTCTAGTTAGCTTTTTACTTCTCCTTTTAGCCCTTCTATTTTATTGGGGGAAATATACTAACTATTCATTGTTTTTAGTACTTCTTTTGGAGTATTCAAATCTCTAACAAGAGCGATATCAGGTACTTGACCATTTCTCCTGACTTGTCGAAAGTGACTGCCCTTACCTAACCAAATCTATGGCCGCTGACCTTAGTCTGAAACTTAATCTTGGCTAGGATGACCTCTCCTTTCCTGAGTCATCTTGCCAAAAGCTCAAGAAATGGCCTCGATCTCATCATGCTTAGGTTAATTAGGTAAGACACTTGAAGGAGGCATATGCACACTAGTGGAAGGAGATAGATCTCTATGACCTTATTTTCTGTTCTTAGCCGATGTCAACATCCCCGGTCGATCTGCTGACAGCCTTTTTAATTTTATGGGCTCCAGGCTACAACCCTTTATATTTGACCTGAGTCCCATGTTCATCACATTATGAGATGTCTTCATGTACTTAGGGCTACCTATCACGAGGAGGAGAACTTCTATGAAATCCTCGAGAAGCATGACTCCTACATCACCCTCTCGGCCAACTTGGAGAGCAAAATTAGGAGCACTGGCTTTTACATGAAGATCATAAAGTTATTCTTCGAAAGCTGGTCAATGAGCTTGTCAACCATACAGATCACCTAGTCTTCATCAAGATCCTGTTGTTAATGGATCCTAGTCCCCGGGGTGGGAAGCCTGTGCAGCTGTACTTGAGGATCCCCACTCCCTCTTCTATGACAATTAGATACCTTTGGGGATAATGTTTTGTGCTTGCCTCTATGAAGGCATGAGGGAGTTGCTAATGAAGAAGCCCTTCAACAACTTTCATGGGCTTATCTGGTCTTTGAAGTTATGGATAAGGGCTTATTCCTTCTTCTCTGTCGAGAACCCTTCCTTGAAGATTCTCATGCCAACCACCCCTTCACTTACCTTATAGGTGGTCATTGCTGACTGACTCGAAGAACTTCTTCGAGTTCTTCAATCAGTAAAGCTGGTCTTTACGAAGGACCTTAAAGGCTTTCAATATTCTGAATACTACCTTCTTACCTAGTATAAAACATCTAGTAGACCAAAAGAATAAGCTCGCCCCATTGCTAAGGGATGAGGTCTTCCTTTCAGCCACTACTCCTAGAAAGATGTGGCTATCGTACATTAGCTTCCTCTCCAAGTCTTTAAAGGTCTACTTGGAGTTTTATTATCCTTAACTGGTGGAGGGCTAGTTTAGATTGAGCCAATGCATCCCTTGAGGGTTGTCCCCTCAAATTAGTGTAGAGCTGCTGGACTAGGAGGCTATTGACCATAGAGTCATCCCACACACAGCCCAAAGGCAGTGCAAGGTAGAGCCTTGTAGATAGAGATGCCTACCTTCACTTCATAAATGGTAGCCCTAGTGCTTTAGGCGCATAATAAAGAGCCATACCAATAAGTATGTCTCTTGTGTTCCCTTTTCTTCCACCTTTCCTTCTTTCACATTATAATGTAGTCTAACTTATTTTAACTTTTTATAGTCATGATTTGGACACAATCACACGTGTTGATGACCTTCGTGAAAGGAAACATCAATGCCCTCACTACTTTAGAGACCTAGACGGCCCCCCTCACTAAGGGACCGTGTTCCAAGGAATGGAGTTAGACAATGCATTCTCCTAAATCTTAGTCCTGAAGAAGCTTGGGGCCAAGAAAACTCACCCTTCAAGTTTCCTGGACAAAGGAAATGGCCCTTGACAAGAGGAAGTGAGTTTTGTCTCCTTCACCCCCTCTCATCGATCAACCTTCCTTCACCTTTTTCTAGCCAAAACTACTTCCTACACGGGAAAGCGCATGCATAAGTACTAGCGGACGATGATCTTGTCGATAAATGTGACGATGATAGGGTGAGTCCCCTTTCCTATGGAGGGGGTAGAGACTCAGCTCCTAAA